TATATTATAAGATAATTTAAAATGACCCTCCTCAGAAAAAAAAATAAAAAAAACCGCTTCTGGGTACTACCTTTGGAACTAAATTAATTTCTGTGATTGAATGCAGCTTTGAACCCATGGCAGGAGTTTCAGCGAGTTTCGCAAATCTCTGGAGGTAATTCGTTATATCAGTAAGATGAAGCCTATATTCTGTAGGTTACCTGTTTTGAATTCCAGAGCAATAATACTGGAATTTAATACGCTCAGAGCCGGCGCAAGGGACGTGCAGAAAATGTCATACAATAACACGGAATAGTTATAATTATTTTCGTTTTATTTACACCGATACGACTGCGTAACGTAATTTTTTCCAATCGAGTTGCCGTACGTGTACGGCAATATGTACATACATACATCACTCGGGTTCGAGTTACGCGTAGTGCCACAAAAACCGGGTGTGCAGAGTGTGCCGCGTACACGGACCCCAAGGCTTACATACATTAGGGGGGGGGCCTAGTCCCAGCCTAAAATAAACTACACTTTGCAAATACAAAATTATTTCATAATATTATATTATTATTTTTTTAATAAAAAGAAACTTTTTTAAAGTTCAGACAAGGAGGTTAAAAATATTTATTTAACAACGAGTCCATTGAGTATTTGAGTTGGCATACAACATACTTACCTAAACCACTTAAACAAATCTACTACAAAAATATGTAGTGAAGTATAATACACAACAGTTGTACCTAGGTATTTAATTTGATGTATATATATATATATATATATATATATATATATATATACATATATCATACACTAATTGATGTGAAACATGTTTTATAACCTAAAAAATTTGATACTTATAAATAAGATGTACAACAAAAATAAAGCCTAGAAAGGGGCCTAAAATAATTACCACACACGGGCCTTCTATTTTGTAGTTGCGGCACTGATTACGTGCAAATCCTACCACCACCATGGGTGCCCAAAGGGGGGCAATACGGGGCATTTGCTCCTCTGGAAAAAATTAATTGAACACTTAATAACAAGGTTTTCAATTGAACAACTGTGAAGACTTCAGTTTTTATTTAATAACGACAAAAGTGTGTATAATTCTGACATATTTTATTGTTTGCTAAGGATACATTTTTTAATATACTTTTTGGTGTTTGATTTAATTATGCCCCCTCCCACAGATAAATTTCCCGTGGGCACCCGTAACCGCCTCCACTACAACAATTACTGACGTGCACTTTTAAACCGAAAATAATGTTATACACAGTGGCGTAGCCAGGATTTTTAAATGGGGGGGGGGGGCTAACCACTTTTTTGGATAAGTAAGGTAATAGAGGATATGAGAATTTACCCTCAACCCCCCCACCATCTACCACCAAGTTTCTAAACGTAATTAAAGCATTTTAGTATAGTTTTAAAAATATTTATTATTATATAATTTATAATAATAATAATAATTTTAGTTTCAGTATTCAGTTACTTGCTCCACTCTGACAGCTCTTAGGCGAATTTCTGGCAAATTCAGTTATTATTTCACTTTCATCGAATTGATCTTTTTTATTTATATTAGCCATAGCTAACTTATTCAGTCTGTTTTCCGACATGGTGCTTCTTAAAAAAATGTTTAAGCGATTAAGTGCTGAAAACGTTCTTTCCGGAGTGAAAGAGGTAACTGGTAACGTGGCGAATAATTGTAAAAGTATTTTAATGTTAGGTCGAAGACTGGTGCGATGAGAGAGTGAATCAAAAGCAGAATTCGTTTTTGGAATAGTATTTTGACTCCATTGTTGCCTCTATATGAACAGGTCAGCTCTGATTGTAGATGAGGTATCATCATGGAGATCTTGGGCATATATTTTAGCAGCTTTTATAATATTTTTATCGTCATACATATTTAAATTGGCCGGAATAAGTCCTTCAATAACATAAATAACATAAATAAGATAATATAACATCAATAAGCCTTTGATTAAAACGAGCATCCATTGATTCAATTAAATAGTCAAGATACATTATACATATAAACACGGCACATGGGGGGATATAGTCCCCTTAGCCCCCCCTTGGCTACGCCACTGGTTATACAAATAACGATTATCAAAATAGTACAGTCGCGACTTTATGGCTGTGCAAGGGGGGAGGGGCCTCGGTTTTTTGAATTCGCACAGGGCCTCGTAAATCGTAGCGCCCCACTAAATACACTATGGAAGATTGTGTTATTATTTGGTAAGCAATTTTAGAAAGAAGCCGATTAACTGCGTTTTAAGATTATGATCGGGACTTAAAAATAAATTTTTGTTTTTTATAAAAATATTACATTTTAGAAATTATGATTATTCATTTTGAAAAATGTCTGCTTGTTAAAGAGAAACACATGAGTTGCGTCCCATAGAAAAGGTATACATGAATTGCGTCTCGGGTATTGAAATTAGGGATTTTTTAACAATTCATTTTATAAATAACATTTTGTTGAACATTAATATAACGTCAAACATCAATAATATAAATAAATAACATAAATATAATATAATATAAATTTAATCTTATATGAAAAATGTGAGTCAATAATAAAATTAGGTTTAAAAATATAATCGTATATCTATATACTCGTGTTCATCAAACACGAGGTTTGTATTGTTTTTATGAGCTTTTAACAAATTCTAACTTTGTTATTTATTTATTTATAGTTTAATTTGTTTTTATTAAAAAAAAAAACATCACAGCAAAGAAATTAAGTATGATAACTAAATAAATAAAAAAAATTAACAAAACATTAAATAAGAAAGCCCGAGGAGTATATGATATTAATTATGGAATGAATGATAGCAATGAAGCGAGAGTTAAGGAGGAGATTAATGTCAGGAGTACTATAACCAAAAGAAGATAGGAAAAAAAGAAGTTTTGGCTAGGAAAAAGAAAAGGACAATTAATAACTATGTGGTTGAAATTAAAATTAGAATGCTCATGAGCTCAATAGATATTAAGAAAAAAAAATTATCTGTGCTTATTAAGAGGTTTTTTTTTTTTTTGTCGAGGGTAAGCTTAATAATTGAATAATTGAGTATTGCATATGCAATATCTTCAATATTCATATTTCACACATAATTTAAATTATTATTTTCACTTATTTCTAAGTTATTAGAATTATTTACTAATGACGAGATGTATCATTTTAGATTCTAAGTAAAACAATTAAGAACATAAATTCCTAACTTTGATTTTTTCATTTAAGATTTTTTAATCGCCTTAAATGGATTAATTAAATCTATTATTTCTATAATAAAATGATAAAAAATATTTTTAATTCATAAATAATTACCTACAATATTATATATTTTAGCCGCATCTAACTTAAACTGAATTATTAACAATAAAAGTTATTGAAAAATTCTGGAAGTAAAAATTTGGAGCATACTATTTAGATAGTAGCTATTTCAATTTATTGTAAAATCTCATAGATTAAATATACGTATATTATATAATATGTATATTTAATCTATGGCTTACTATATAATTAATTTTACATTAAATTCATAATTGTTATAGAACAAAATATAGAACAAATAATTAAAAACCAAAACAGGATCTAATCACTATTCATAACTAAATGTAATTTATTTAAAACTTAAGATACCTACCATAAAAAATATTTCCTTAATATTTATCAAATGCATTAACTTGTTTAAAATGTTTACTGTTTATTATTTTTCATAGAATAGCTGATTTGAAAATCCTAGGTTCTTGTAGCTATAACTAGATAAATTGTATTACCATGTATTTTTCCTTATGTACACATACTAAATTATCTATTCAATACTAACTTATCGGATTTTTTTGCTAACTCAGAATGAATTCTCATTTGTTTTAAGTATTTAATGTTAAGCTGGAACACTTAAGATAACCATATATTGGTCAAATAATTAATTGACGTAGAACGTTAAAATATATGCTTATGATAAACTCATTAGTCAGTATTATTGAAAAACCGTTAAATTGTTACATAAAGTAATGAAAAAAATGTCTTGAATAAAATGATCAAGATAATAGTAGACTTAATCTGGATTTTAACAATTATATTTTCAAGAGTATTATCACATACAGCTATACTTATAAGCATACTTCTATAGAATTTAGTTAATAGTATAATAGTTCATGAAAATGTACATTAAATAAAATAGATAATCAAGAATTATTTTTGGGTAGCTAATTTGGATATATTCATTGAGAAATTATTGTTTATAATAAGTTTATACCTTTACCTGTAGTCTAAATAAACATAAAACAAAAGAAATTATAGGACTACTAAGAAAAATATTAAAATCTGAAAAATTGTAAGCTTTCAAAAAATATATGTATTTATGTTCTGAGCGTTAGGGATTGTTTTTATGAACAACCGTGATTTTAAAATGTCATATTTATATAATTTTACCTATTTGTTTATAGCTTAGCTAAAAAGAGGTTATTCACAGTTTTAGAAGATGTAAGTCTCCAAACTTCATCTATTTGGTAACTATGTATAAGACCAACATCTTTAAAATTAAATATTATACTTTAATAAAACCATTATTAAATTATATATTAAAATGGCCATGTGAATAAAATATATTTTAATTAATTGTTTAAAAAAAAAAAATTATATTTAATCTGAATTTATGTACTTTGATAATAAAATGCAAAATAAACTTTTAAGTTAACTTAATGGTTATAATGTCTGTATTTTATTATACAAATAGTACTGTTGTTAGGGTAGGTATATTTCCATTCCGTCATAATTATAAATAGATGAGTCAATACAAAATGTACACACTATTTTACATAACAATTTTAACTTTTACAATAAGAAACCTAAACCAATTTGGTTGTATAATTTAAACATATGTAGTATAGATACTTCAGAAAATAAATAATGTAAGGATATTTTTACAATGCTGAATAAAATATATTCTGATATTCCAATAATATTCCTGGTTGATAATAATGCATTCATCTTCAAAACCATTATATAGATTTTATTTTATTTATTTGTATTATAAATTCTTTTGAGTATGTTCGTACAACATTTGAAAAACAATTCTTATCTTTAAGAAGTGTTTACTTCATATATCTATTATTATTTGGTGAGCAAAACTGTATTATTGTTATTTGTTACCATAATTATATAATTTACATCATACATCTTATATCTATATTATCTTGTTGTTGACTTTGGGAGTATATAAAATTATATGATACATGCAATAATTATGACTTTTTGGTGTATTGAATTTTCATCATATTTTTTAGTATTAAAATAAAGACATAATTTTCAATCAAAACGATTATAATCAAAGGATAATCCTTGCTTAAATTTTAGTTTTTGATTTTATAAAAAAATAAATATAAAACAATATAATGTTTCAGAATACTTCAGATTTAAAATTCATGGACTGAATTTATTATAAATGTACACTCCACATAAATATTTACTCTCGTGATTCTGTTTCCACTTTATAGAATTGAGTTTTTTTCAGCAATTCAGATGTATAGATTGCAGCCTAGAATATACAAACAAATATAGTAGTACTTATAACATACAAGGATTTTATTTTAATATTGAACCAAATTTAGAATATAATTTTGGTTATTATCTGTATCTATGTATATAATTAATTCAATTCTAAACGGACAAAAACAAATTTTTAAGTACTTTTAAATTTAATAGACGTAAATATATATATATATATATATATATAATTATAAATAGTACCTATATAGATAAATTAATAATTTAAAGATATGATGAAATATTTTAAATTACAAAAACAGAATAATTATGTTCTTTCAGATTGTAAAACGAAAAAGCATTAAAATAAAATCTATTGGAAAATTAATTTTATTCTAATAAGTATAACTTATATGAAAAAAACTCTAGTATTTAGTTTTAAGTTTTATAATAAAATAAATGATCTAAATATAGATTTAAATTTTTATCATTATGAACTATATAGGTTATAATAAAATGAAATAATTTATTACCAAATTAAAATAATATTTTAACATGGGGGGATATGACTAGTTTTTGATTATTAAACAAAAAATAAGGAAAATTTAGTTGCATAGAAACGCAATGTTGTAATTCAAATGTGCATAGTAAAAATAAATCAATTGGTATGTTAAATAAATAATCCATTTAAATTATAGTTGTGCATGTGATGGACAAATTAAAAATTGCGAATTGAGTTACTACAAAATCTAAAATGAACTAGATTATAAATAAAGCTTTTTATATTGCATATTTTAGAATGGTGGTACCAAATATCAGTGAAACAAATTTGGTACTGAAAATATACAGACTTTATAATAAATTAAAGTTTAAATATTATAACTAATTTTAAAGAAATTTAAAATTAATTACTACTTAATTAATAAATTAAGATAAAAATATACAAGTAATTTATATTTTTATTAATTCATTTAGAACAATATTAAATAATAATTTAGAATTATTTATCTAAATATAATAATTTTAGTTTTTAAAATACCTGGACAACATTCGGGCATGGATCATCTTTTAAAAATTCAATGTCGTTGGTAAGGGTTTGATGCCAAACATTTAAAAGACTGTGTGGACTCAGTCTGGTCATGTGCAATAAAAGAACACACGTTCTTTCTCTAACTGTAGCATTTTCACTGTTTCTGAGCAATTTATGAAGCTCCACATTAGAAATTCTACCTGAAAAGTAATTTTTATATCTTTATTAAAATTTAACTGCAATATCCTTAACAACATATACTGAAAATGTATTATTACTTTCTAAATGTTTTCCAATAACTATGTCTTGTACTAAATTTATATTGCGTGGTAAATATATTAAAGTTAATATTAATACTGCAAGTGTATTAGTCACCAAATGTGTATTTCCATGACTAAGTGACAAACACTTTTGTAAAAGTGGAACAATTTTCAAATAAACAATACTATCGGAAAATTGTTTAAGACACTCCATAGGTTTATCTAATGATAAGCCTTCAACTAAAAGAAGTACAGATTCTAAACAGCCTAACTCTTGTAAACCAGAATTATCAGGTGGTGCAGGTGATACACAGTTACGAGCTGGTGATTTGAAAACATTAGAAAATGCTTGCATCAAACATGGAATGACCTTGGTCTCAACATAAACCTAAAATATATATAAAAAAAATGTTATTTCTTTAAATATATTTATCATTGATACATACAATTTCAAAAATAAAATTATTTTATAATTATAACAGCATACATGGGTAATTAAGTCTTTCTCAGTTTGTTGAATATTTGGAGTAACAAAAGGTATTGATAGAAGAGTAACAACATAATGTAATAATTTGGAAGACACAGTCATACTTTTTAAAGAAGACAATATAACTAATACAAAACTTTTTTGACTCATAGATGTTAAATTTCCAGATACAACCTGAAAAAAAGATCATGAAATAATCGAAAATATTACAGATTAAGATTTGTAAATAAACATAATTTATTATTATAAAATATAAGCAATATGTATTATTAATAAAATTTTACTTCAGATGCACTTTGTCGTAGAAATACAATCCATTCTTCACTCATATATTCATTAGTATTAGTATTATTGCTTGTGGAATTAGTCTTAACAGAACATACATCTAATTCTTGACAAGTTTCAGAACACCAACTAGACTGACTCGAGCGCAAATCTTCTTCTTCAGTACTATAAAAATCAATACATTTTTAAATTATATTTTATTTTATAAAATTTTTATAAAAAATATTACGTGTCATCTATAGATGTTAATTCATGACTGGTAGAAGAATCGGAGGTAGTTTCTTCCTCATTTATCTTCATTGAATTTAAGGGATATACTATATCATCTAATTCTGACAATTCGTCAAAATCTTGATTCTCATCTATTGTGAATACTCTGTTTTTTACAAATTCATGATCTAATAGACCAGGCCATGTTAACCTTTGTAATGGATTTTTTTGTAACAATTGTTCTAAAAAATTTCGACAAACAGGTGATACAGTATTCGGCCAAACAATTGGCTGATCTTTCATCATTTGTATTAAATGCATTAAACATTTAGTATCAAATGGTGGTTTTCCACATAATAAATGATAAGCTATACATCCCAATGACCTAAATAAGTAATAAGTAGATTAGATAGTTTACAAATGTTCTATTTGAATATTGATTATACCATAAATCTGCATTATGATTGTATGTTGGAGGTATAACAGGGGAATTTATCACTTCAGGAGCCATATAAAGAGGTGTTCCTTTGAGTGATGCTTGTGTTAATACTTGCGTACCAGTTAACATAAAACGGGCTAATCCAAAATCACATAATTTTACAACATCATTATGATCCAATAAAATATTTGGTGGTTTTAAATCCCTAAATATAAAAATAATTAAATAAAAATAATATTACTAAAAAAAATGTATGTTTAAGTGTTAGTAATCAAGCTACCTATGTAAAATACTTTTTCGGTGTAAATAATGTAATGCTGATACAAGTTGACATATAATTGCCTGTGTTCTTTGTTCATTTAATATACCTTCAGTTTCTATAATTTCTTTAAGTGACCTAGGCACAAATTCCATTACTAAAGCAATCTATAGTAAAAAAATGAAAATAAAATTACAAAACACAAAGGTTATTTTTGTACTAAACTAATCTAAATATCTTACCCCATGTTCATTTCCAAATGATTCAAGCATTCTTACAATGTTTGGATGGTGTAATTTCTGTTGGATTTCAACTTCTTGTTGCAATGTTTTCAATTCATCAAGCTAAAATAAAATCCATTATATACATAAATGCAACTGAATATTTGATGTATTCAAATAATTTTTATGTAAAAATATTTACCTTGAAAATAAATTTGAAGGCAACTACCATGTTACTTTTAATATGTAAGGCTTTAAATACTTTTCCAAATGATCCTTCGCCTATTTTGTCACCCAGTTGGTAATTATGACAATGTGCCCAAAAAGCAAGTCGTTCATCGCCTACCATCATAGGATGTTTTATTTCATCTGTCATACAAAGGGATGACTCCCGTCGCCGAAAATGTCCATTCATTTTCAATGTTTATTAAAAGTTAAATTTAAACATTGATTATCAGGTTGATCACTTTGAGTTTTCCTTTTATGTATTGCAAACCACTATAAATAATGCTCCGACCAATAGTACCTAAGCCCCATTCCATTTTACAATTTTCTTTTAAATTTTCAACCCAATATTGAAAAATTTCATATTTACTTATTAATTTAAATATGTATTTATATTTTAAATTAATATACAAAACCAAAGTTTAAATTATAATGATAAATACAATATAAATATTATGTTTGTGTTAACTAATAAACTTTAACACTTATCACTAATCGGACTAGTATTCATGTTATCAATATTGTTTATTGTTATTATGCAGGCTAGGCGATAAGAGTGCAAAAATATTAGATACATTTACAGATTTTCAAGTCAAAACTAATACATTGTTTATGAACTTTTTATACATGTACATAAAATCATAATTTATATTAAAGATGGGTGATTCTCAAAAATGTATCAATTTATTGAACGGATTTAAATCGATTTTTAAAAATCAACTATGAAAATCGATTTATCAAAATATCGATTTTTTTAATTATAATTGTATATATGTTACCAACAATATGGATATGTAGTTTAGATATTTTGCAAAATACCTACCTAGACATTATGCAAATTGCCGACCCATTTTAGGCAATGTAAATAAAACATATGATTTTCAACATTATTTTACATATAACATAGGTTGGTATGTGTTTTCAGTGGCGGTTTTACGGGGGGGATCCAAGGGGTCTGGACCCCCCCCCCAGATCCCAAACTTAGGCTGTGATACATTTTACTTATTTATTATATACCTTATGGTTATAGACTAGAGTTTAAAATCGATTGAAGTATGTTATACAAAAAACAAAAATCTTAAACACATTTCTTCAAAACAACATCAATATCTGACAATTTAAAATCTTTGGATTTGACAAATTCGTCACACATTAATGAGAAAAATGAACCATCAACAAATAAAAGATCTACTTCTCCATCATCATATGTTTCTATTTATCCTAAAAAACCCCAATTGGACTCTCCTGCACTGATCTCTACGTCTCCATTTGATATAACTTTTTACAAAAATATAAAACTTGATCAAAACGATATAATAAATGTATTAAATAACCTCTGGAAACCCGACATTCAATTTTATTTTCCTACAAAAACATATATATAAGGAAAGGAAAAGAAAGAAAAGAAATTTAAATTTCAATATTCTTGGTTGATGCGATTTTCTTGATTGGCATACTCGGCTGTAGATAATGGTGCTTTTTGTAAGTTTTGTGTAGCATTTTCAAAAAAGGAAGGGGAAAAAAATTTCCAATTATTAGGCAGCTTAGTACTAAAAAAATTTGATAATTGGAAACATGCAGTTGAAAGTTTTAATAAGCATTCTTCTCTCGAATATCACAAACAATATTTATCCGATGCATGCAATTTTTCTAACGCGTTAAAAACCTTGAAACTTCTATTACTAACATGATACAAACCGAAAGAATGAAAAGAGTTTTAGAAAATCGACAAAATATTAAACCCATAATTGAAGCCATAATGTTGTGTGGGTGTCAAAATATGCCTTTAAGAGGACACCATGACTGGAAACGTATACATGTTAATGATAATGTACAAAATAATCAAGGACATTTTCGGGAAATTATTCGTTATCGGGCACAGGGAGACGATGTACTAAGGTCAATTCTAAAAAGTGAAAGGACAGTAAAATATCTAAGTAACACTAGTCAAAATGCCATCATAGATTCTTGCAACTCAATTTTACTCAGTAAAGTTGTAGCATCGATTAATAAGGCAAAATGTTTCGCAGTACTTGTTGACGAGACATCTGATATTTCCGGAATGGAACTAGTTTCTTTGTGCCTCAGATACGTCGACTTAGATAAATTAGAACTCCATGAAGATTTTCTTCAATTCATACCAACAAATGATACTACAGGAAAAGGCCTAGCAAATTCAATTTTAGAAAATCTTAGTGCGTTTGGCGTAGATCTAATATATCTTCGTGTTCAAGGATATGATGGCGCTGCAGCAATAAGGGTGTACAAGCGCACATAAAAAAATTGCACCGTTCTGCAATATATGTACACTGTTCTGCTCACTTATTAAATCTTTTCGTATCTAAATCATGTTCTCTCCAACCTATAAGAAATTGCCTTGGGGTAATAAGTAAAACACGGGATATTTTTGTGTATCCAAAGAGAAAATCAGTTCTCACACAAAAAATTGAAAATTCTTCAGACAATCCCTCGAAAAAAACACTAAAGCGTGGTTATGAAACTCGATGAATCAAAAGGTATCACTCAGTTAATGATTTTTAGAACTTTACTTTGTTGTAGTCTTTAAATGATATTTCAATATGGGAAGACAGTGATACAAGTGGAAAAGCACAGTGTCTACGAAATTCAATTTTGAACGGAGAATTTATTATTTCTTTAATAGTTTTAATTATTAACAACCAGAATTTCAGTTTTTAATACATCAATCTTTACACTTAAAATATGAAAATACCTACCTTATACAACTATAACTTATTGTTTAGTAATGATTAAAATTTACTTTTGAATTTATATTAACCTTATAATGATTAATAAACTATAAACTTCCATCATAGTTTAAACTCATAAATTTATCAACTGAACAAACAATTGATAAGTTTTTCTCAGAAAATCTGTACTTAAGATTTGCAATCACAATATCAACTATTGGAAAATATACGATATATTACACTATCCGTAATGTATACCTTATCGTTATTATTATTCATTATTATTAATTACAATTATAGGAATATCTGAATATTCAAATATGGAATTAATTATAATGAATTATATAATATGATTTACGACCACGGATATATAAAGATATACTAAAGATCTAAATAGTCAACAAATGCAAAGTAAAAATTAGTTATTCGGGTTCACATGCTAATTAAAAAAAATTGTGGCCAGGGGAGCATCGTCCAAAGAGTTCCGAAAAAAGAAATTCAAAATTCATCAACTTCCGAGCCCTAATAATAACGGTGGAAGGTACCCTATCCATGTAGGTAATTACACCGATAATATTAGAGGATCATTTGCGAAAATAATAATTTACGGTTGTTATATACGATTAAAATGTGTGTAGCAGCAGAGCCGTAACTAGGGTGAGGCTAAGGAGAAATTTGCCTTGGGCGCCTAAAACTGGGGGCGCAAAAATATTAAATAATTAACTTATTTTAAGAAATATTATTTCTTGTTTTGCTAGAAACCTAATTACAATTTTTCAGATTTTTTTGAATAGTATTATACATATTAAAAGCGGTGAGTGTGATAACCCTACAACCTAGGGAGCGCATTGCTTCAGTTCTGCCTCAAGATAAAAATGGCTCGGTATGACTCTATGTAGCAGTCGTATTAACCGATATTGTTGTTACGTTCAATGCCGTTATAACCAGTTGTTTTGTAAATCGGAATTTTGCCGAATCTTTGAAATTAACGTCGTTATACCTCATATGTCGTTACGACCGGAGTCATAGATAGTACCGACTGTACTTGGTATTTATAATCAATGGTATTACTGGTCCCGCGAGGCCCGCTTTTAGATCATATACAACGGATGGAGTTATACAAATAATTTGTGAAGCCAATATAACAGTAGGATCGCACTGATATGCACATGCGTGTGGTATCTTATCATTAATTTTTGGCGCAGATATTAATTGATTATTGAACAAGATCACGATTAGCTATAATGTATAAATGTTTGTTAAGTTTCTAAATGTTTCTTTAATTCTTATTTATTATTTTTTCTCATAATGCATAACATAGGCGTGCGCAGACTTTATTCGCAGGTTATGCAATAAAAAATATAGGGCCCCTCACAAATAAATTTTCTAATCTGCCCTTAATTTATTTGCATTTTCTTTTAACGCATATAAGATTCAAGTCACAATCTAAGTTTTTGCATATATACTACTTAGCTTCTTTACTTCCCTTAGAATCTAAAATCACACATAGTTTTACAGTAGAATATTAAACAATGCACTGTAGAAATAAGTAGTTTGAAATTTGATTTATATTTATTAAAAAAAAAATTATTATTTATTTAAGATCAAGTATGTACTGTATTGAATGCTTTTGAATAATTTTAACATATTTATAATGTTGTTATTTTATAGAGAGTACTTAAAATCTAAAGTTCAAGTCTTCTTTTTATCGGTACACATGCTTTGAATTCATCTATTACATCTTCAATATTGATTTCTGATGCCATCTTTTGCTCGATAAATATTAACATCAGTGAATGAAGACGTTCTTGTAACATAGTGTTTTTAAGTTTAGACTTTACAATAAACAATTTGGAAAAGTCCCTCTCACACGAGCAGCTTGCCACAGGTATTGTTGCAAATTGTGTTAAAGCTTTATTGAAGTATGAAAATATTGTTTTCCGGTCGTTTTCTGATAACCAATTCAGCCATACTAAAATTGTTTTAGATGATGACCCTCTAATAGAAGTTCTATCAAACATATTTGTAATGAGCTTAATTTCAGATTCAAATGTAGTATTCAAATTAAATTTTTCCTTCAACATTGAAATATCATTACTATCAAGCTTTAATTGATTTAAATTTCCTGTGGCGGTAATTAAATTTAAAGTTTCTTAACTTAATAATAAATATGGGCCCCTCGCATGAAGCCGCAGACTATGCAGCGGCATACCCTGCAAACCCCGTGCGCACGCCTATGATGCATAATATTATGTATCATAAAATGTAAATGTAATATTGTATAATAATAATAATTTATTGAAATAAATAAAACAAACAAAGATTAATTTTTAACAGGTGCATACTTATAAAATTAAAATAATAATTACATATGTACTAGAAACTAGTGTGGTTATAACTAAGAATGTACTCTACAAAAGAATAATATGGAAAATAATTACTACATAGATATTAGTGATATTACTGATTTTAAAATAAAATCATTTTGGTGTAATTTTATCCCAAATTTTTGACTGCCATTGAAAACGAATGCATTTTGGCTTTATGATTTAATCTTAAATATATATATATGGTTCAATGATAAACCGTAGCAATTGAATTCGATAGTTATTAAAAGGATCTTGAATTTTATTCGGCATTATTATAATACTATTATTAACTATATTGTATTCGCTAGGTTAAAATTATGATTAATAACAATGTTTCTTAATTTCAGAATTAGTGATGCCAAAATTCAATTTTAAGCGGTAAAAAACAGATTGACATTTGATAAGCATGCACAGATGTCACCGGTTCTATAGTTATGTTGACTTCAACTAATTCTATACGTATGATATGCGATAACTCCATATGATTTATAAGAGTATATGATCTATAAGAGCTATAAGATCTATAAGAGCCCGCTTTACACTCCGGCCGATGACTACATTATCGCATGAATAACGATTGTGTGGTGGCTACACTGGTCGACCGTTCGTCTTGTTTGTGTAATGTATTTCTATCACATCCCAAGTTAAAACAACCATTTTGGCTACTTAGATTTCTGTTGTTTTCCTTCGTATCGATGGAATTGTTATTCTATCGTCTCATACCGTCTAACTTATTCACTAATCGTGTTGTTTACTTTTACGACGTATGTGTTAGTTCAATTGTTTGACTCCCGCAAACCCACTCGTCTTCAGTTTTCGTACACATGGTCGGCCGTGTTTAGCAGTCGTCTTTCGTGGTGTAACGCATTAAACTCTCGTTTACATTCGGTTTCAGTAACCAGAAGTTAATTTCATCATGAAGTTCATAAAAGGAAAGCGACCACAGAATGGTCGAGATCGTGGAGGGTAAATATATAATGATTGATAATATGTCATCCAGTTTTTGATCCAATAATGTCAGTTCACAACTGAATGAATGTCTGGAGTAATTCGTTTAAATTACTGTATGGCTTAAGTACACTTAACCGGCGGTCTCCCACTCAAATTTTTATTTTTTTAAACATTGATTTGTTATTTCCAACTCATGTGCTAAACTTGTAATTTGAATTAGTTAAATTGTGATTTCAGGCGTACTAAAGCACTGCAATCTGGTCCTCATAATCGTTTACGTTTAGCTGCAGCCAATAAAGCTGCAAAAGTTAAACGATTAAAAGCTGCCCAAAGACAGTCTAATAATGATACATTAAACAAAAGAAAAATATTGACAAAAAATTCAAGAGTGGCCATAAATAATGTGATGGATGCCCGTGTTAGACTTTTGCAAAAAGCTTTAGAAAAGCCTACTGTAATAGTAGATGCTAGACAAAAACTAACAAAACAGAAAGATGCTCGTGAAAAAATCCAAGAACGCCGATTACATTCATCATCTTATGATGTTAGTAACTAAACTATAATCATGAAAGAAACGACATCTTTCAATTCTATAATATGTATAAAGCAAGCATTGATCTAGTATACTAATTTAATTAATAGAATTAAGTAGTTAATATTAATGTATTTTTAATGAATACATTAATACTGAGTTAAAAAGAAAATGATTTTTTGATCCATAATATTTCAACTATCAGTAGAGTTTTGCATTTTTAAATATTTTTTGTGTCAATATCAATGTTTAAAAAACTTGATTGTTTTTTTTAAATTTTTTATGTTTCATTTTATGGATTTGAAAACGGTTTATAGACTTATTTATATTGGTTTAATGCTCATTTGTAAATTTATGTTAAATTTAGTAAATGGATAAGTAAAAACAGGTTAATATGAATTGTAGATTATATAAATTATGCAATTTATAATTATCTACTCATTGTGTTTCAATAGAACTTAATCTAATGTATTATTTAATACATATAAATATATGCTAAACCTCCTTTAGGTTTATATCTTAAGCAAAGGTTTTAATTACATTTGAAGCTTATTTTTATTTTTTAGGTTCTTACAATATTAATATCTGTTCTCTAGCAATATAAATAAGTTATTACATTTATCAGCTACTTATTGTTATTATCTACCAAATTCAATAGTATGGATAGGATGTATTAACAAATCATTATATGCTTAGATTGCTATGTTAATATAAAATTGTTTCATTATGAATTACAAAAAATAATCTTTAACTGATTGTAAGACAATTTTTTTTTTCCAATTTATATTGATAAGCTTACTCATATGAATATAATGTTTTAATAATCTATACATTTTTGTCTATGCATTTGGTGGTGTTTAAATTTATATTAATTATTACGTAATCAAAATTTATTTTTCTTACCTTTAATCTTTTTTTTGATCTTAATAGTAACTTTTTAATTTTACATTTTTAAACATTATTTCTATGACTGTTAGAATATGACAATCTTTTTATCATCTTTCATAACTTTAAATAATTTTATAACTAATCAATTTTTAATATTATTTTATTATTATTATAACATTTTATAGATGTAAAGATAGCAATATTATTGTAAAATTATTTTAATCTTAAGTCTTCTTTTATTAGATAATAATACATAGTATTTCTTATTGTTTGATTAGGGTACTCGTAGTATGGGAACATCAAGAGGACTTTCCAATAACTTAGGTCGTGTAAAAATTGACCGTCGTGGCATTCTTACTGTTAAGTCTATTTTGGATGAAAGAGCTTCTTCACATCATTCAAGTGTTCGTGATCGACGACCTACTGTAAATCAAGGACGTTTTGATGGTGTAGAGAAAAGACATAGTAGTAATACATTCAATTCTGAGTTGAACACATTTAGAAGTAATATATTTAGATTTGAATTATTATTGTTTACTTTATTATTGACTGTATTTTTGACATAAGGCGACAGACCGGTTGAAGAAATAAGACCAATGAGACGTGATATGAGAATCTCAAGACGTCCAATATCAAATGCTCAGTCTATGAGACAACCTTTTGAGCGTTCTACTAGACCTTCAAGAATAAATGAAAAACCATATAGTAGGCCTATGGCAATGGATTATGAAGATTCAATGGATTGGGAAGAAACCAATAGATACTCTCCGACCCCAGTAAATAAGATACATTTTAAATTAAAATTTTCAATTTGTTGTATTTTTGATTATATTATAGGTAATGAGACGGAATATAGGTGGAAATGCAATGTTCAATCGTGATGGATATGAAGATGATTTATTAGACAGAAATTCAAGGTGAAATATAATTTTATCAAAAGTTTCAAGAGTTAAAATGATTTTAGTTATTAACTGTCATAATTAATAACAAGTTAAATAGGAATAAATAATTTTTATTTATTAAAATATTACTTAATCATTTGAAAGTTTTAATTAGTGTTACTGTATTATATTATATTATAATTATTACTAATTTATTTATTTATAAATTATTTAAGGAATCATAGAGGGTTAAGTGAAACATTACGTTCAAGATTAGATTCTCGTCAAACAGTTATGGCTAAGCGTTCACGTCCCTCTGGTCATAAAATTGTTATTTCTAATTTAGAACCGTCTGTTACATCTGAAGATATTAGAGTATGTATTTAATTTTATTAAAACTATAAAGTATAAAATAACTTGATATTGGTTTTTTACTTAGATTAATAATTAATTTTTTTATTTTCTTATTTAGGAACTTTTTGCTGATATAGGTAATTTATTAGAGTCTAGAGTAGTTCGACCCGGTGTTGCAGAAGTAATATATGAACGTCGTGCAGATGCTATTCAAGCAGTTGATGTATATCACAACAGGCAGCTTGATGGCAGGCCTATGAAGTGTGATATGGTAAGAAATGTTGGATCTAATCCTGCTGGACCAATATCTCTGCCTGGGTAAATAATCGGAATCTTAATAAACTCTTATGCTGGGTTGCATGAACATTTACAGAACCGATAACGACTTATCAATTCTGTAAAAATAAAATTGTTCTTTAAAATTGATAAATAAAAGACTAATAAAGCGTTGTTAGCTCGATAAGTTATAGGTTCGATTTTGGATCTGTAATATTTGCAGAACTGTTTAAGATCCCTTATCATTTAATTTAAAATGTATTATCACTTGAAATTATTGTTATTTATTTAATTTTGAATAATTATTAATTTTATTTTATTTTATATTATTGTTTAAGACATTTTAATTTTAAATAATTAATTGTAATGTCTTTGTCATTCTCATCTGATGCTATCGATAAAGATATTCTATATATTTTAATAAATATTTCAAGATTAAGGTGGTTTAAAGATAGGTCAAATCCGTCAAATAACAATTAACAATTAAATTACCAAGACTGGTTTATTTCTTCGAAAAAGAAATCTTGATAAGAATAATATTTATATACTACTTAATACCAGATAATTGGTTTTAACCTGATTATATGATACAATTTATAATACTTTCATGAAACGCAATTTGTTCTTTAACTTCTACTATTTTATAATCGGTAGATTATCCGCCCAACAGTTATTGAACTATTTTCATGCAACTGGGCATTAACGTCTATAATATATGATTTTATAAAATTTATTGTTACTATTTATAATTATAATTATATTTTTTAATAATGTATTACATTTGTTCTAGAACAAGTCGCAGAATGCCTTCACGTGCTATTGATATGTATAAACCTTCAGCGTACGTCACATACGATATAGATGCTGTACATACTGCATTATTTAATAAGTAGTTTTATATCCCAATTAAAATATATAACAATTTTCTAGATTTCATGCATGTTACTTTTTTTCTGTTAAATTTGTAGCATTATAATGTATTAACAATTCATTTTTTCATTATTCTAATTATGTGTGTTATTTTGTCCACATAAATAAAAATTATGATTTTGAATGTATGTACGTGAAATGTATTATAAATAAAGTTTTGGGATTACAAATACTTTATTTTATTTTTGTCATATTAGTACAGTAAAGTTAAAATATTATTTTTTCAGAATTTACAAATTAGTAACTGTCATATGTATGAATATTATTTTTTTTTTTTTGTTAATAATAATGCCATTTGTGCCGAAATTGAGTGTTAAATACTTTTAACCACTTATTTACTTAAAAATGTTAGCTTACATAATGTATTTGTAAAATTATGATTATCTAATAATATTAAAATTATCAAACGTATTTATATAGAATTTATCCTAAAGATAAAACATATATATATATATATATATATATAAAATTATTTTTTATATAGTTTTTAGCTTTTGAATAAAACTGGATAAATCTATATGAATCATTATTATTAATAATATATGTTTTCATTTACACTGTTTTAATTTGCTTATACATTCTAACATTACATTATTAATTTTAATACAGTTGTAATATTTTTTTGTAAAATATATATTTGCTAAAAATTTATTAGTTTAGTAAAATAGTAATTCCCCTTGTTTTAAAAGTATTTATATTAACACTACTAATAAAAACAATTATTAAATAGGATAGATTAATATTTTTGTTTGTATATTTTGATTTTGCTTTTGATGTGGTCATGGAACTAATTTGTTAATTGATATCTTCTTCAATGTTATTTGCAGTTTCAAATTTAAAGAATTAATTAATTTGATTTTAGAGTTTCGATCAAATATTGGAATATTAGATTTTTCAAGTAATTTTAATATATTATATACATTTTACTGGAAGAAAATGATTGAATATTAAAATGGAACACATTGTTTTAGTATCAAATTCTAAGTGAATGTATTAGGTTACCATGTTTTATTGTATCTGTGTATGCTGATTTCTTAAGAATTATAAAAAATTTAAGACAACTAATAAAATAATGCTAATATTTATGACATACTAATTTTTGACGAAATGGAAATTTTGTTTTCATTGTAACTCAAAAAATAATAATCATTAACTTGGAGATTTTTATTAAATGCTTTTAGTACTGTTTACTATAGATGGTAAAATGTTAAATGACATTTGGGGTGTTTGTTAATAATTGAAATGTTCATATTATCTTAGCTTATTGTAAAAAAAAAATGTCAATAAAATAGTTTTGGTTTCATAAAAAGTTTGGAATATGTAATCGCATTGGACAGCAAATATAATAAAATTATAATGACAGCCATTTATACACTTGAGTTTCCAACTAATCACAAAAATTGAGAAGTTAAGGATTTATTTTAACCATTTTTATCAAATAGAAATTTAATAACCAAGACATAAATGACATTTATGACTACAAAAATGTAAAAAATACTAAGTAAATACTAATCAAATATTAAAATATAATCCAATATTAGGAAATGAGATCTTTATCTAAACATGTTTAATATAGTATTAAGAATAAATTACATGTTTTAACACAACTCAACTGTAAATTGTATCATAAGTTATCCCAAATACATTAAAAACAGATTCAAGTTATTGAAAAGCCTTAAAACATTTTTTTTAAATAAAAAAATTTTAATAGGATTAATGTTTCGTGTACGTACTGTTCGTATTGTTTCAAATATTAATTAAAAGTCGACAGTAAAACAATTTATTTAGGATATTGGACATTGTAACTAATATAGCCAGAAGGTGGTTTACAAGTTATAACCCCCCCTCCTTAAAATGTCTCTCTTAATTTTTAAAATATTTAATAATTTTAATAGATAAATTTAATGTTATATCATGTCGTCATAAAAAAATTTTCACAGTTCCAATAAATCTCGTTGGGATTTTCGAATTTATGATAAACGAAGAAGACTATAAAGCTTTAAATGTATCATCCATAACTTTACGTTTACTTTTAACATCATCTACAGGTGATTGCAGCGGACGGAAAAATAAATTTATGTTTGTCTATATTTAACGATCGGATATGCAAATCTGAAATTATGTACTATAATTTATATGATTAAAAATAAACTAAAAATTCAATTAATGGAAATACAACTCGTGAAAATGGTGTCGGATAAATTTTAAACAGTGGGTAAGTAAGTATTATTTTGTACACGATTTATATAACTCTCCCTAGAACAGAGTCTAATTTTCGAAAGATCTGGAACGTATTTTGATATTAACTGATAATCATGGGCGTAGGTAAGGGGGGAATTTTTGGTGTTCAAACACACCCCGAAATAGTTCGAATTGTCATTGATTCTTTCAATTTTCTTCGCCAAAATGCTGAGATGGAATTTAACCTAATATTTATCACGACTTCAAAAACTTTAACTGATGTTGATGGCTCAATGAGTGTACTAAGATTTTCAAAAAAAAAAAAAAATAAATTAATCGAGACAATTATTAAAATTCTACTCCGGAAGAATATTATAGAAAAACACTTTTTATACTATTTTTTGACCATAACAAATTTAAAAAGTAAGTTTGAACAGCATTATGATTTAATTTTATTTTTTCAAAATATTATGTCGAATAAAGTTAGTTGTGTTTACAAATGAGAAATATGTTATTAATTTATGGGATTTTTCAAGACAATAATTTCGGATCATCAACAGTTTAATTCGGAATATTTATTGTAGAAATCCAAATAGGTAAGAGAAAAATTTAAATTTTTTTTATGTAGATATTTTGTAACATAAAAAATAGGGGAAGGAGCTAAGTTAAAATAAGAGCTCATTTTTTTTTTTTTTTTAAAGACGGCAAAATTTGATTTTGCCTAGTGCTCTATTTTTGCTTGAGCCGGCCCTGCCTATGTCCATGCTGATAATGAACACAAAAATATTATAATATAGGGCAGTGGCGAGCCGAATATAGGTCTAAATGAAGCCTAGGCATCAAGTTAAAAAGGGGTGGGTGGTTGTTGGATAATAATATGTAAGTTACCTAATTATCGTATATATTTAGGTAGACAAATATTAATATATGAGTTCTGAATGAGATGAATTTAAGTATGGGTGGGTGGGTGGTAAACTAGATTTTGCAATTAGCATCGAAAAAATGTTTATCTCGGGACGCCACTGATATAGGGTACACTAAAGTTCTTTATCATTATTCTAATGATAGTATCATATAATAATGTAATAATCTAATAATATATATACTAATATACATTTCTATAAAATTTATAAAATTCTGTAGGGAAAATTAAACATTTAACATTTAAATTCAGTGGTGTAGTGGCACGGTGGTCATAACCCTCTACCAAGGAAAATTGTAATAAGCGCATGCATAATTTTTTTTTTAATTATATTTTTAATTAATATTATTTAATATTTTTTAGAATTATTCAGTATTAAATAAAAAAATTGGTTAAAACGAGTCTTATAATAATATAATATAATAATAGTTGCCTATTACGTTTATCATAATAATACCAACCCATAACATAGTTATGGAGTGTCCCCCCATGGCAAAAATTCCAATTAGTAAACAAATATGTAATAATAAAAATAATTATTGTCTTATATAGCGTTTGATATAAAATATATATATATATATATATATCCCCTCCCAATAAATAATCTTTACCTACTAAAAATTATATTATTTTAGATACAATGTTTATTCTTATTATTATACAATATAATAATGTGCGTTAGTATACCTATTTGCAATTGAGCTTGTTTGGCGTTTGTAAAAAAAAATTTAAAAAAAACAATAAAATAAACATTAAGCCTTTTTCTTAGGGCACCATCCAGTTATACGTAAAATATTATCAGTCTGTTTGTATGTATTTCCTACTCTTGTCTTATCAACAGTTGTACTTTTGCCTGGAATATAAAATTTGCCGGCTTTTGCACGCCTTCGTTAAAATATATTATAACTGTTTCCACTTGTGGGTAAATTTATGCAATCTCCACAAGCCGTCAATAAGGCTTTTGTTTGGTCGACGGTAATGTCTGCATGGGCGTACCTACGCGTTTGATAATGGAAGGCATCGACCATCAGATACATGTGTACTGGTATTACCATAATGTTTTTTGGAACATTTGTCCACGGCTTTAAGTAGAAAGGACGAAAGCGAGAGTTCTGAAATTGTAGGTAAAGTAAGCAAAAATCGAAATTTTTTAAAATTAATTTTAGTTTTTCGACTTTTTAATTACTTAGTAATTATTACAATTATTTTTTTTCTGTACATTTTTAATGCGTTGGTAGTTTCAGAAACTAACTATTTCAATCCAGTCATTAATTAATAATTTTCACATACTAGTAAAAATTGAAGAGTACCACAACGATCGCTTACAACTTTAGACTTTTGGAAAGTGTAGAATTTTTGAAAAATTGATCTTCAATTGGAGCTCATTGGAAAGAAATGAAGGGATGTTTCGTATTTATTTTTAAAAATATGTTAATTTGAAATTATAAATACATTATAACTATTGAATAACAGTTTAGGCTTAATTGTAAAATAAAAGTTTAGCATAAATTGTTTTCTTAATCACAACACACCAATGCGTAGAGCAATGGCGCAACTAGGGGGGGGGTGTAAAAAGGTCGAATCGCGGATGTTTCGCCCCCGCCATTTCGCCACACTAAAAGATAAAACGATAAAATATTCTTTTCCAAATTTATACAAACTTTTGCAAATTGCAATCGCAATTCCGGTAAGCTCTGCTACCTGCGGTGAAGTTTTTCAACAATACGGTGGATAAAAAATTGACTAAGATCATGCTTCGTCAAAGGTGTACCAATTTATCTTTGTTAAATATTGAAGATGATTTTTTAAATCAGCTTTACACCAAAACTATTTTGAATAAATATTGCATGATACCTAGAAAAATTATGCTGATTTAAAATGTACCAATAAGTTACTGATATTGTAGTAAAAGAAAAATATTATAAATTTGCTTTCTTTATTTATGTGAAGATGTGAAATGTTTTAACATGTATTTTGAAGTTTTGATATATGTATTATTGTGAGTTTAGGTTTGGGGGGGGGCAAAGACCCCCATGATTCTGTGATGCATTCACATATTTAACATCCCACGTTTTAGAGGTCTAGTTATGCCTATGGCGTAGAGCTAAACATTTCAACATGTTAAACATATGTTGGTTCCCTGTGATTGTGCTAATCTAATTATAAATAGGTACCTATTTTTAAATAATTAACATCGTTGGTTTAACATATCAGTTTTTACGTATCTATAAAGTGTCCAGAAAAATGTAATAATAAAAAATGCACGTTACCATTTAAAATAAGTAAAGATTAAAAAAATTACCATAAAAAAATTAAAAAAAATTAAGAACCGTAATGATTTAAATGTTGAAATATCAGCTGTTACATCTCATAACACACGGAAAGAACTGTGGGAAGAGGAGCGGTGGAACACTTAGAATAGAGCTGGTGGCAAAATTTAAGAAAGTGGTTACATTACAATACCAAGGAACTATTTAATGCTGTAAAGAACTATCATCATATAATTTTAATAATTTCTAAATTTCGATAGAAGAAGAAACATAAAGGATGAGAAATATTATAAAAAGAAGTAAAATTTTTATAAAATTTTGGACTTTAAACTTTTTATAAACGCATAAATGTTTACCTATTATTTGGAAGTATAGTTTAATGCAAAAATAAAATCACTTTGATTACGGTTTATGAATATTTTTGAATACCTTACCTACGTTCTTTCAGACATTTTATTTTTTTAACTAATCATTACTAACCATCAATAAAATGTATTATTTAATAAACTGTTGTTAAATAATTAACCGTTAACTAATAAATTTTTTTTTGATTGAAAATTAATAATTGTGGCTAATTATAAAGAAAGAGAAAATTTCGAAATAAAAATTGATTTTTATATTATTATACTATGTATTAATAAGATCAAAATGTTTTTAATATAAACCATTAAATCGTTGGTGTATTATACATACACATTAGTACTACCTAACATTAATGTACCTAGGTATGTATAATCGAAAAAAAATAATTAAACCACATTTGTCATTCACAAAAACATATAATTTATATTCTTTACGGGTATAATCATAACGAATATTGTAAAATGTGAATAAATAAATAGCCTTGTACGTAATTTTCTTATCGCGTACATACAAATAATTACCGTAAATTGGCAGTATGACAGAATTGAATCCAATGAATACAAGAACACTAGAACATATTCATAATCGATTTCAATCAAACTCATAGGATTGAAGTTTTGGAAAGTTCATTATATTCGTTTTGTTAGTGTCATCAACGTTCCTGCTAATGATATTATATTATATGCTAATCATTTAGAATGCGGCATTAGTAATGTGAAAAACACGAAAAAGAATTTGTTTTTAATTTAAAGCTCAATGTTGCTGTCAGATTGCAATCAGATTTTAAATGAAAAAACTAATCGCTTGGTCAATGGCGTACTTTATTTGTAGAATTGTGCTTAAACCCATCGTCAATCAGGTATAAACATGTATTATCGATAAATTATAAAGTATCGGTCGTAGTATTTTTACGACTTGTTCTGCTGTATAAATATTATACGATACGAAGACGAAGTAGCCTATTATGTGTTATCGCTGTAATGTATTTCAGATTTGCCGATTCATGTTCGAAAACAGATCATTTTAACATAACCACATAACACTACTTATTCATAAGATGCTCCCTCTCATAAGATGTTCGGGCTGAATCAGATGTATTAAATTATATTTTTATGTTCAAATTAATACATGCATGGGTAAATTTACCATATATACATTTATGTACAGTATATATTCGACCATTATATAATTATAATTGTATGTATATTATACTCACATACATAGAAAATGTAATTAAATAGAACGCCAACTTTCTGAAACTAATTATGGTTTTCAATATTAATTTTACTTTTTATTTCGTTCACCGCTCTCTACTCATTTTTCACATGTTCAATATATACAAATGTCCATTGGTACTTTTTCATATGATGATTGTAATTTGTTAAACATATGCCTAATAAAGTCAAGCTAACTGGAAACTATAGTATTGAAGTTTAAGCCTCAATAATAATATATCGATGAAATAATATTTCTTTGATCAAATACTGAAACCGTGGAAAAGATCTAAAAAAAAAAAATAATATCCTTTTGTGGATTTTTTAACACAGTCGGGATAAAGGTGTACAAAATAATAATCGAAATACAAGCTTAGAACTCTTAAAAGTTGGTTTTCTTTTCTTCGTTTAAACTTATATATATATATAAACACACGCAATGTTTTTCATTTTTAAAAATCGTTTGAAAACAATAAGTAAAACGTTATTATCAAAATGCTCTTAAGTAAATATATAAAGATTAGAAAAAAAAAACAAAACAAACTCGTTCAAATGATGTATATAACTTAAAACTGCTGTCTCAATGAATAAAAAACGTAATATTATACACTAAGATGATAAATATTACAAATTAAAAAAGAAAAACTCCATAACGGGAATAAACTTTTTTTAGTACATACAAGTACAATACCTTGAATTTTGATAGAGAATTATCAATAATAATAATAATAATAATAAAAAAAAAAAACAAAAAAAATCAAATTAAATAATATTAATTTAGTTAAAACACGGGAACTCAATAACGTTCGGTAGACGTTTAGTGCTGTCTTTTTTTTCATGTTTTTCTTTTTACCCCGCAACAGGTTTACATTAATATTATATATTAAATAGGAATAAAGGATTTGAAAAACAAATTTTAAATTCGTGCGCGTGTAGACGCACATATCGGTGCGTTATTGTACACGTGCACGCCACACATACGTCTGTCTAACCGAAATATTGCGTTTGCGGCCGGTTGGACGGTGGTTTCCTCACTCTCAACACTTCGGCGTACGACTTCTCCAGCAACTTCAACTTGGCGACCTCCTGGGAAGCAATGCTCTTGAACTCCATCGACTCGTGGCCAGCGGTCGTCTCGTCCCGAGGCCCGTACCACGTGGCCCGGTGGGACGGCGACGGCCGGTCGCCGCTGCCGCCACCACCGGTTGCACTCCTCTGCCTGCTCGTATCCTTCCACTTGTAGTCCACCAGGTGGCTGATATCCCGGGACTGTTGCCTGCCTGAGGACGGGTGCTTGCGGTGGCGCACGTGCTTCTTGTGCTTTGCACTGCACGAGGCCAGCTCCTCGATGATGTCCCGATGCTGGCGTACGGTGTGCCCCAGACGGTCGTCCTGCCGCGGTTGTTCCCGGTCGGCGGCAGCGGCGACGACGGCCCGTTCGCATTTCTCAACGCGTCGTTCGGCCGCCATCGGGATGTGCTGTTCCGTCGCGGCGACCGGTTCGCACCGGGCCGCGGCCGCGGTTTCCAACAACCCGATCAGCGGGTTGGTCTCGCAAGCCGGCGTGGCCGGCGGCACCCTGGGCGCGGCCGCCGTCCGCCGTGAGTCGCACACGCCGTCGTCGTCATCGTCGCACTCAGCATTGTCCCTCAGCAGCAAGTCGTCGCACTTCTCGTCCTGCAGCAGCGGCAGCCGCTCGCCCTCGTCCTTGGCCTCGGCCGCGCGCTTCAGCACGGCGAATATCTCGCGGAACAGCTGACGGTACTCGGGCGTCTTGCGGAACCGGCTCTCGATGGGACTGGCGTCGTCGTAGATGCTGAACCGGCAGTCGTCGCCGTCCGAGATCGTGCACAGGAACGACCCGGTGAAGAACGTTTCCGTCTGCGTGCACTTGTTACTCGTCTCGTCCGAGAATCCCGACGACGACGTGGTCTCCGTCTCCGAGTACTTGCACGCCGGGCCCCTCGCCGTCGCCACCCCACCGCCGCCGACGTCTGTGGTCGCGTCGCCGCCGTCGTCGTCGTCGCTGTCGGACGCGTTGCCGTTGAACGACGAGAACTGCCCCGACATCTGCAGCTCCTCGTGCAACGATATGCCCTGGTTCTCGTCCTTGCAGTTGTTCGACGGCAGCATCGTCGTGAACGCGTTGTGCTTCTGTTGGATTTTCAGCAGCGCCTCGTACTTGTCCACCAGTATCCGGTACGGATTGTCTTCCGAATAGTTCTCGCCCAGCGTCTCCTGCGCGCGTCAACCGGTACAAAAACTATTTAATGCCAATAACGCAATAATATACCTGTTTATTTGTTATGCATGTTTAACCGCCCCATCGACAAGGTCACCGATTCACGGGCTCGTTGCGCGATCGCATAGTATCGTTTTATATTTTAATTTTTATTATCACACACCGGTGTGTTTCGGACCGCCAGAAGTTTGTCGAGTTTCAAATCGGACCCCCGCAGAAATCAGAGTTGATCACCCTTACCATTCTGGCGTATAATTATATATATTATATATAATCCATTGACTAGGACACGATTTTTCTCCAAGGCTACAATTGTTTCCTTCGCCTTTGACCTTTGTCTAAACTTTGTCTAACCTTTGTGCTCGAGGAAAATTTCTACTCGGCCTGCAGATATTATGCGATCCTGCGCAGCATATTACGATAAAATAATAATTGCATTAAGTTGAAATTTAAAGCGGATGCGAGATCGTGGTCGGATTAAATCGTGAATATTATTTTACGAACGCTAAACCGTTTTATTCGTTGGACAGAAACAATAAATAACATTTTAGAACCAGATCAACGCTACCTATATATTCATTATTAAATATAATTTATATTATACGGCTCAATGTATGTACGTGCTGCGCATTGCACAACGTGACTTTAAATTTTATTTTTTAAACTTTACTCGTTGGTCGGCTATCTGAAATTAAAAACGTGTTACCTACACGAATAATAGTTATCAAAACTAGCTCATTATCGTGACCTAAATTAAAATGTCAAAAATTCCGGATAGCCGAGCCTAAGAATAAAATAATTATCATAGTTAAGCGTGTTTTGGTCCGGGACGAATGCCAAAACTCGATTCAGATTTTTCATTCAAACAGACTATTTTTCATCGTTCGTGGTGATTATTCATTTAAATATCTTATTAAAATGCCCGTTTGATCATAATTTGTAAATCGAATTTAGGATAAAAAACTTTTTCAGTAATTCTAAAAGAAATAATATAATACATTTTAATAAATTGCATTGTAAATTTGAAAACAAAATAAAACAATGTACGCAATACGTGGTGCATGCAGATTTGTTCAAAGTAAGTCATATTGTGTTTTCGTAACGTAAAACGTTTACGCTTTGAAGCGATACAGCTTAAGTTTTTAACAATGTCCCCGTATCACGTTTATAATACTTTTCAGTCAAGAATAAAACATACTTGTAATTGTTGCAAGACTTCGTGTTTGTGCGTTTCGACATATGATCCTATAGCGCTAATATCATCAGTGTCATCATCATCGTCGTATACTGAGTACTCGTCGAATAGGTTTTGGTCGGTGGTACGTTGACAACGGCGACATAAATTTCCTTGTCTTTGATAAACAATAAAATAAATAATAAACATTACATAGGGCACTGCTAAATTATTATTATATTATAATTTTAATTATTTTTAAAAATAGTTTACATATAATATGTGAAATATATTTGCGAGTTAGGAACATTATGCATATATTGATGTACCTTAATAATTCACGGTTTAGAAAAGTATTAACAATCGAAAGAATACAATTCGCGGTAATTAAACGCAGTAGTTTTTTGTTTTATTCACATTTTATACTCGTCATACTCATAATATCATTATTCCAGTAGCATTTTAGACTCTTATATAAGGATATGATTTTATATAAATTAAAATACCAAACAATATAACACTTGTATTCAACGTTTTGTTGCTCTAGAAATTACCCTTAATGCAGAAGTTATTAGTAATTTATTATTTCCGTGTCATAACCAGAAATAAAAATCAGCATTTCAAGGATATAAAGTAACGATTAAATAAAACGATGACTGGAGTAGACAAGTAGACACCTACATATTATTATACGAAAACGTGTTCTTTGAATAAATACCTATACATTTGTATATGTTTATAATATCATGTGTTTACTGTTTAAGTGATAACTTGTTATGATTCGAATTAATTGAGTTAATTAAAGTGTTGCATTAAAAATGCAACTCGTCTTAAAATATTTTGTTATTCGATTTAACTTCAAAGTTTTCCCTAGACCCAAAAAAATATGTAATTATAAACTATATAAATAACACCTACTGATTATTATGATTAATTTAATATGAAACACTTTTTTAGCTTACCTTATTTCCTCTAAGTAGACTATTTGATCTTGGAGCGTTTTCAGTTCTTCATCTTTCTGTTGCATAACAATTACTTTTTCTTCTAAATTCGTGTTCTCCTATATTGAACAAATAGATACAAATTGCAATCATATTGACATTTAACACAGGGAAATGATTGTAACGTATTCATTGGTATTGTGTATTCACTAATATCGCTTTAATCCATTCACGACTCATTGTTTTTACCTTAATAAGTAAGGACACGTTTTGTTCTAATTCAGACACTTTTCTCTGTTCCTTGGCTCTTTGATTTTTCGCATGCTCCAATTGTGAAACAAGTTTAGCATATTCATCTTGATCTTCGATCGCAGACCCGCTGACACTGCCTTCGGGGACTACGCTGTCGTCTTTTTTCAAATGACCCATATCGTCGACTAAGTGCTGCAGATCTTCACATCGACTTTCCAAACTTTCGATTGTCTCGTACAAACTATAAAAATGTACACGAAGCCGCAGTGTTATTGTTTATGCACGTTTTTGCATGCTAACGCATATTATAATCAAAACACAATCGCAGATATACATTACCTTTTTATTTGTTTTTTGTCGTTTATGTTTTCCTGCACGAGTCTCTGATTATTTCTCTCTAGATCCTGAATACTGATCTCTAATTGTTCGTAAATTCGCAACCGGGAGTCGTTCACTTCTCTCAGAGCGGCTGTCTGTTTGGTAAGATACTGCCAACATATTAAACAGTCGGTTACGACTAGTTCGTAAAGATTGAAACCGATAGCCTGTTCGTTGGCTTTTTGAAAGTTTGGCCACTCGGTCAAATTTCCAATAGAGTTCATTTTATGCCGAGTGTAATACTATTATATTATTTTATACTAATTTCAATACGACAAAATCGTGTGGTCGTGCGCTAGGATTAAGACTGACAAAATGCGTTCGGTTACTGTATACCCGACCTCTTGCCGAAAGGTCTCTGGCTGAGCGTCCGTTGTATTGGCGCATTGCCACGTATATAAAAATAATGCCCATGGCATCTTTAAAACCAGATGAAACACGATTACCGTTGATGATTTAAAATACTAATCAGAAGGTCTTAGCGATAATTATTATTTTTTGTGTAACAGACAGAATAGATATGCGTATTTAGACGAAGTCACGTTTAATTAATTAGCGATTGTTAGTATGGGAAAACTGAACTCAAATTTAAGCAAGTACCTCTATTCGTTTGTGATGCGTTAGAGACACATAAACATTAAAGATTGATTCATGTATATTTTTGTACATTTTTTTTTTTCGTATCAAAGTTTTATTAAAACGCATAAAGTAACATAAATTTACGTTACACCGTGTAATTAACAAAAATAAAATATTATGTGTAATGAATATTTAATGTAGCGTACATACAGGATGACATTACAATCTATTTTTATTATTGAATCACGCGTATTGCAGACAGTCGTGGTTATACGATTTAAACTTAAACAGTTAATATGAATTCTTCCTATTTGTTACATGCGCTGCAGTGAATATAAAACAACCTAGGTGGGTGTTGTATTTTTTAGGTTAACGTAAATAACACATGTTTTGAAGTTTAAGATTTGTTTAAACAATCATACATCTGCTATGACTTCAGTATACAAATTTACGTGTTGAATATAATAGTTATCTTACCTCAATCTCTTGATTGCGATCATCCACGACATTTTGTTGTTGCCTCAAATTGGTTTCCAATTCTTTATTCCTCTCTAATAGAGTTTTCCCTAATTCCGCAGCTAGCTGTAAGTCTGCAAAACCACATAATAATAGATTTTAAAGTTATGAAAGCAATCAATTTACGTGATTTCACGACAATAAAACATTTTATGAATTCTAAACGAACAATACAACTATTTCCTGATTGAATTCGAGATTCCCACTTAGCAATCAAAAATAATTTACATTGCATCGTGCAATTGCACTTTATTAATTTAAATGATTTGTCAAAAAAATCTTGAATTATTCTAATTATATTGATCAATCGTGATCTACAGGAGTAATCACCTTGATCGGTGTTCTTAATACCTACATAAGAAGTCAGTTAAATATGGCATTTCGAAAACGTCGCGATTCCATAGAAGGAAGCTAGGAAGGTTCTTCGTCAAGACTTCGTGATCAAACGGAGAAAATATACGAGTACATTTATTTTTATTTTATTTTTTTATTTTCAATCCGATTTAGTTTTTTTTTTTATTTTATTGAAAGACTGGGTTAGCTTAGGTTAACCTCGATTGTAAAACTAGAGAATTTACGAATTGGTTTTCGTTAAAGCTATTATAACTATGTTGCGCACTCTGAATTTGTCTAGGTAATGAATGCATATATTGCATAAAAACATTATTATTTATCATTATTATTATTTTTTGTGGCTTTTTGATAATCATGAAAACCAACTGAATATATTTTATAGATCTCATATATGTTTTTGGTAACTACCTATAATGACAACATTTTGATTTCTGTATTTTATGCATTAAAAAATCAACAATATTACCAAAACATTACGTATAGTTCAGTCGAAAGTCGTACACGGACTATGAAGCCTAGATGTTTTAAGTATAGGAATCATATTATATTATAATAACTATTTACTTATAAGCACACACTGTATATATGTTACAAATATTAGACTGCACCATATTATTATATCATAATTCGAGTTAAAATACTACCTAAATAATACTATCTAATTTCTAATTAGATGTGCGTAGTTATGATTACCAATCATGTTATTGTAATCTAATAAGGTAACCTACCGCTATTAGATTTTTGCATAGTTGTCTATTCTTATTGGCTATTGACTTTGTGGCTCTAACATTATCATAGTATTAATTATTAATTAAAAACTATAATTGAAATGCATTTTAGAAAATAAAATACATTATTTGAAATGATTTATATTTATTGTAGTATTAATACACGTGTTGTTAAGTTTATATAGATAGGAATGATTTATCATACAGTTATTTTAACGGAAAAATGAATTACATTTCAATGTTGTACGTCTCATGTATTTTTCTCTGTTATCTAGTTTGTTGTTTTAATAATATATTTTTATTTATCATACTTTGATACAAGTAGTAATAATCTTTGATTTCAAATTTGTATTTATATTTTTCATGTCCTAAACACCGAACATATATCATTTACTAGTCAAATTAGAATCAAAGTAACTTTCTACAAAAATTATTCATGTTTTCTAATACAACTAACTAATAATCATATTAACTCATATTTAATATATATGCGAGTGATATTTGGTATGAGATGTCAAGTATTTAATTAATCACAAATAAACCAAAAAATTGTATAAGAAAAAAAATACATTAATTATTTCTAGTTTTCTCTTCGAAGTAATAATATCAACTCAAGTTATAACAAAAATTAGTATTTTTTTTATTATATATCATTAAATAAGTTTAGTACAAAAATGTTTCTAACATAATTTTTTCTCTATTGAAACTTATTATTATATATTATAATACCTTGTGGACCACGAAGACATTCCAATTCAATTGTATAATCCCAGCAATCCAAAGACGCTAAGTCCGATGTAGGAACATTAATTTTGTCCATGTTCGTAATTTCAGCGCATATTTGTATTTTGTTTATTCAATAAAAATAGCACGAGGCTTTTTTATTTTGAATAATGTATAGTCGTTGACTTAAGAATTATTTATGCGCTAGCCTGGGAAATATGATATGATATAATGTAAATACAAATAGTAATAGGTAAAAACCTAAGTTTAAGTTTTTCGCCAGACAAGTTGTACATACTAATAAATAATAATACTGTTACGCGAGAAACAATAATCATTCAAAATGCCGTTAAAAGAATAACTAACTATTACATTGCTGCTTAAATTTTCGAAATAATATATACTTCAAGGGTCGATCGGTATGTAAGTACCTACTATAGAGCTAACGTGCCTATTGAAATTATTAATGAATGTCTGACCTGATATTTTAGGCTTATATATATGTATGTATATGTGTGTGTTCATATGTGTATGTAAAAATTTAAGTCATGGACATTACTCTTTTTCAACCATGAGTATATTACATAATATGAGAAACTTCTTAGAAATATTCTATTTTGAATACTATTAGTCCATAATTTAAATAAAGCACTTTGGGTGTTTTATTTTACGAAGAAGAATATTATAAATAGTTTTAAAAATATTCTCGGCTTACAATCAACAGTACTAAACGTTTTCATGTAGTAAGTACCTATATATGAACAGTTTAAATTTGAAATAAGTTTTTTTTTAAGAAAATCAATTATGTATAATATGATTCTAAAATATATCATCACTTGTTTCAATGGTTTTAATTTTGTATTTAAATGTTGTAAGCATTACGTGAGTTCTATACCAAAAAAATGTAAAAAAAAAAACTCAAAACGGTTTTACACTTTATGGATGTTTTATGCACATATGCGATACTACATTTTGACAAAATCAACATGACAAATGTATGTTAAAATTAATTAGTTGTGTATTTATAAGGACATAAAGTACAATTATTATTTACATTTGTAGTGACGTAAAAAATCGCTATTAAATTTTTCAATGTAGATAATCATCAGTTTACGGTGAATATTGTATTGGATACCCGATGTTAACGTAATGTTTACAGAGAGACCATAAAAAATAGTCGAAAGTTCAAATACGTTTTATACACATCCGTTTCAATGGATTTTTATATGTTTTAATACGTCATATTCAATGCGATGCAAGTAACAGATTTGTATACATATTTTTATTTTTCAGAACTTCTATCATCAGGATTTATAAGTGAATTCTGGAATTTTTAAAAGTTTTTAACACGTTAATTATTATGTAATTAAACGAGTGCCAAAGAATAATATGTTTATAATCAATGTACTGTTTATTACTTAGTATCAAACACATGAAGTGCATGGTTTTATACTATAACGTCATTAACCTAATGTTTAATTATTATTTACATTTATAAAAAGTTTACAAAATCATTGGATTCTTGAAGTTTTGAACATTAGCATTTTCGAAAGATTCGAAAAAATACAGCAGTATAGCATGTATAATATAAAAGGATAAATCTCGTAGTTTAAAAACAAAAACATTCGATAAATTTCGTTTATAATTAGAGTAAATCGAAAGCAAATTGATGAATACCGTATGATAAAAATTTAAACGGTAACAAAACTGCATTGATCTTTGTTCTGAATATAATCGAATGCGTTATTATGTACAAATAATTAAAAGATTTAACTGTTACATGGGATGATTAGCAATTTAATACAATACGGACAGTTTAAAGAATTGCCATACACTAGCTATCACCGCAAACGATTGATTATCTACACACGATTAGTATTTTCGTCAACGCTTTGCCCAGTCATCGTCACACGAAACATACAGGTAATAAACACTTGTAATTTTTTTAAACTATTAATTTAAAATTTTTTTATTTAAATTGGATGACGTCATTTTCAGTAGCAGACATGTTAATGACCGACCCATGTATATGTAAATGCACGTAAAACATTTTAATATTTAAGTTATATTATTGACGAATCCGTTGTAAATCAAATACATATATTAGGTACTGAGTACTTATTTGCAATACCAAGTATACGGAGTGTATCATAGCAATCAAGATATACCCATTGCGATATTTCTTGAGGCAATGAAGATAATCAGATTCTGTTTATATATATATATACGAGTATGTATTTAACTCATAGGGAAAATATTTATATTTTAATTAACTTCCTAATCTTTGATATTTTTTTGTAAGCTAAGAAAAATATATAAAAAAATAAAAAGGTCGAAACGTTAAAACAACCAGAAATCTTCAAATGTTTCAAACATTTGTATTGAAATTAATTGTTTCAAATTATTTATCGAAACATAAAAATGTAATTAATACATTAACGTTTGCAGTTTTTATTCCTGTGAATTATATAAAAACAGAATTTGATTGTTTATATTATCTTAAAAAAATATCGTAATGTGTATACTTTCGCGAGACAGCCTGTGCGTATATTATAACAATGTAGGTATATTTGTTTGCACAAAAAGTCGATATCTTTGAACCGCGTATACCATTATCGACGTGCTTAGATATCCCAACAATGTTACCGTTCAAAACCAAAAACCGAATCGAACAGAAGATTTCGATATTACACGCAGGCAGGCACTAATAATTTACGGGCTTATTATTTAATATCGTGAAAAAAAAAAACGCGTCGAGTGGAATTTCGAAAAATTAAGTGAAGCTCGTACGCCACAAACGTGAACAACAATGTCATAAAAAAAAAACCTGAAACCGGCTGATTGGATGTTTACAGTCGCATATCGATATCAATATTTATCACCGCGTTTCGGGTGTTTGTGTATACGATTAAGAAATCTTCGGAGAAAGATGTACGAGTTGCCGGACGAGAACGCGGGGCGTCTACACGACGGTACGAGGGATATCGCGAGACCCGACGGACCTCTGTTTGGGTAACGTCCAGTTTCAACGATCCCGTTCGGCGGTACGCGTGCGGCTGTTAAATACGTAGACCGTACACGCTAGCTCACGTACGCCCCGCGATTTGCTCGCGCGAAGACTTACGGTTGCGGAACAGGCGGCGGAACAAGAGAACAACGGGAAACGGTCGGTCCTTCCTGTTTGGTGCGCGTCGTGCCCGTCCGTTCGGGGGTGGTGGTCTCGGGGCGGGTCCGAGGTATGGCTACCGCACGGAAAAAGAAAACACCTGTTCGATCCGCGACAACCGCGTGCAAAGTACGCGGTCAGACAGGGGTGCGGTTACGTCTCGGCTCGGTGGTACAGAACACGGTTCTAACACGGCGACGAGGGATGCGTTTACGTACCGGCAGTACGGTGCGCACGCGTAGGAAACCGCGGGTGCATCAGGCGGTGGTGAAAAACGATTTAAAATACAAAAAAAATAAAAATAAAACGACGGACAAGAAACGACGACGAGAATGTTACGGGCGCGTCGCGGATTGCCCCGCGATCGGACGTGTTTTACGTATTCCTGGTTTTCGGTACTTTCGTTCGCGTGACGCGTGCACGGACGATGAGCGCGTCGGATCACGCGCGCGGAGAGACTGGAGCGGACCCGGCGCGAGTAGCTGGATCGCTGAGGCGGCGGCACGTACACGCGGCACCGGGCTTCGGAGTGCGTGAACGTCGTCGTGTCGTGGACGACGACACAAACCGGTTGTTGTTACCCACACCGCCGCCGGAATTCGATCGCATTCCGTCCGGACCGTAGTGTATTATACACGCGATTCGAATACAATGCGCCGTGATGCACCTCGATTTTTGACATTAAAATTATTATTACTGTTATTGAAATAAATATCGCACGGTGTGCGTTCGGAAGACGATGAACGGTAACGCGACACGACGAGCTTTCGATTTTCATTTTGAGCCCCATTTTATATTACACGTGCGCCGTGGTAGACCAATATTGTTCACGCCCACACTAGTGCATTGGCCATCTATTACGTGAAAAATTGTTTTCCCGAGAAATTTCAACCGATGACGTGTTTTTATAGCCTCGACCATAATTTTATTGTTAGTGGTGACAATAATAAATGGTCCTATAACCTACAAAATATCGAATGAGCGGCTGAAAACGTAGCCAAAACCTGGCGGTTCATAACAATGCTCCGGTTTGAAAAAGGAAAAATACACATTTCTGTTAGGAATGGAAAAAAAAAAATTCATACAATCAGCGGGGTGTCGCGTGAGTCGAAAACGGTTCGTTCTATGGCTTGAAATGTACAATACGTGATCACCATAAGTGCACCATTCAGTATAAAACTTGGGAGTGCTAAAGTTATCCACCACAAGGCGATCCGTGGGGAGCAAAGCAAAGCCCCCCACGAGCTCCGGTAAACTTGGCACAAAATATTTTAGTTTCACCATTTAAATAGCAATTTTCTATATTATAACTAAATATTATTAATAAACATCACTATTTTTTATCAATAAGGGATCAAACTTGGGGACGGTAGACAAAACCAAAATTCTAAATGCAACTTGACCATCATTAGAGTTTCACATGCATAGATAACATAAACACTGCTACCCAATACTCTTATTGCATACTTATGTATGTACATTGTACGTTCGTGCAAAGGCGTATTTAAGGGGGGCGAAGGGGGCATTTGCCCCCTTCGCCCCTCATGACTCGTATTTTTTTTTGAATATAATACAATGTGATGTATAAATAATTAAGAATATAAATTACTAGTCCATCATAATAATATGTTATCATTATAACAGGAACATGAGCTGTAGGTAATGAACTGTAAATTATTTTTAAGTTTGTATTGAAGAAAAATTAGTTCCCCCACCATGAAATCAACTCAAATACGCCCTTGCTTTCGTGGCATTACCGATTCAAACCGGAGTTTACTCGTCTTATAAATGCAAAATAATTCTCTTTAAACAATAGTATTAGGTACCTCAAAATAAATTAGTACTAAATTAGAACTGGGGGGGGGGGGTGCTAAACAACACCTGGCGCGCACCCGTATGCGCGCCAACGGTGATCACACGTGTCCCTACGTCGCGAAGCCCGGAGAAAAACACACCCGAATCCGAAGGGCGCGAAACGCACATTTGCCCGCGTTAACCTGCAACGCTGCGTACCGGTGCCGCGCCGTATCGTTGCACTCGGCGCACGACGACGGTACACGGCATACCTGCCGCATAATAGGCGCGTGATGACGCGCGGTCGTACACGTAGGCCGGTACACGCGCGCATATTCGTATGATACCGAGGTGGTGCCCCATTCATCGGCGTCCGTCGCCGCGGGACGTATTGCGGTACCCGCGTGCCCGCGCATTACGTGTTACGTACTCGCCGACGGTTGTACGTATCGTTCGCGACGGCCGTGTTGCTAACGGGTCGGCCCGCACCTGCTGTTCGCTCGTCCCGCGCCCGCCCGCCCGCCCGGGACCGCCTCGTGGACGTGTTACGAAACCGTCGGCGTCCGGTGCGCGACGGACGGGGGAGCAAGAAAGCTATGCCGTGTAACGCTATTGCCGCATAACGCCCGTGTGAACGATTGCGTTTTCAAAGTGCTACGGGCCGCGTGCTACCGGCCAACGATGCGCGCGACGAAGCGGTGTCGCTCGCGAGTCAAAGTATTTTGGATGGTTTTCTTTTCTTTTTTTTTTTACTGTCAAAAAGTCTCTTTCGTTTCCTTCTCCAAACATACGTCTCTACGTGCCGTTTGCTGGCCGATCCCGAAACGTTCTCCTATTAAATACTCCTCCGAGACTTCAGCTGCGTTTTTCCCGACGTAGTTTTTACTAGAGGAATTTTTATTTTGTTTCCAAAAGCATACAAATCGATCGGGAAACATCGTGTCCGAAACGTTAAAACTCCGTTCGAACACTGCACCTGTGTCGTACGAGATATTGTTGTAATGCGCTATCATAAGAATTCCGTGCGCGTATATTATGATATCGTTTTTGTTGCTGAAAAGGTTAATAGTACCTATTTCGGTTTTTGATTTTTTTTTCATTCCTTCGCTCCTCCCCCCCCCCCCCCATCCTACCGTCAAATATTACTTTATAGCTGTAGCTCGGAGAATATAATAGTTAAATGCGTCGTCGACTCGAGCACGTTTTATTTGGCGATCACGGTGCGATTTATTTTTTACGCGTTGTGTGCCACGATCGTCGAGAATAAAAATGAACGTTGCGTAATTTTTATTATTTTTACATGACGTCTACAACTTTTTGGAATTTCATTTCGTTTACTACGCGTGTCCGAAAAAGAAAGAAAAAAATAGTTGAGTCGAGATAAGATATAACTTACCGCAGTAAGTTTTATCTACCTAAACTAAAAAAATTAATTATACATATTATATACGCGTACGTGTGACTGCAAACCTAAATGCGTCGAGTTTCATAAATTTCCCACAATTTTAATGAAAAATAAAATCTTGATCAACATTTTTTTATATTTTTGTTGCACGTTTAGATAGACGTTTTATGTTATGTGTACGAGGCTTAAGTTATAATTCTTGGAATTTATGTCGTAAAAAGTGTTCATAAACAGTTGTAATCTAATACAGCCCACAGATATACGTGTGATGTTTAAATATAAATGCTTTGACATTGTCAAATACTCATCTGTCAATCACTTTCGTTCATTCTTAACATATATATTCGAATATCAGGATTTAAACTAAATGTGTGTTTTATTATATTTATTTTAAATAAGAAATAATTTACTTTTGAAAATAATAAACTATAAAATTATTTGTTTGAAGTATCGTAATAAAATTACAAAACAAAATAATTAAGCTATAGCATTTTAGAAAACGACTAGTGTTTAATTTAAGCACTCAAGAAGGTATATTATATAACTTTTAAAAAACCCTACGAATATATCTAGTACTATAAGCATTAGAATCACAACAAGTTTTCCAGCCGTTAATGAAACCTGTTCAAGCGTCATAATTCGGAAATATCAGGTTTACATCACAGAACATTTTTAATATTAAGGTTTTAAGGTCTTCCTCTGGTACTTACTGATGCAAGCAAATCGTCCAATAATATAAAATTAAAGTTAACTGATAAATTCATAAACTAAAAAAATTAAAAACATAAAACGTGCATTTTTTAAAACAATGTGTTACAATTGTACAAAAGTTGAACGTTTTGTGGGTTATTCCAGCTTACAGTTAAACGTGTTTTTGTTTTGTTTTAGCCGTGAGAAATGAGATGGTATTATCGTAGTGACATGGTGTATATATATATATATATATATATATATATATATATATATATTATACTGCAGTTGTTATACAGTTATGAATATTCAAATCGCGAGTTAAAAAGTAATAATAATACCTAAACGAACATAGAATAAAGGGTGCAGTTCTATGAAATGAAAAATATTTAAAACCGTATTTTTCTAGAGATTATAATATTATGTTATAGAAGTGGAGCATAAGTAGCAAATAGGTGTGGTTGGTGGTTATGGCTTGTTCGTTAAATATGTACCAAGTGAAATAGTGAAATATCAACAATAAATATCATGAAACTGTACCTACAACCTACCTATTGTACACATACAGCCACTGTCGTATTATGTGTCAATTGGAGATATGTTACCAGCGAACAATTTATAGTAGAAAATATGCGATCAGGTAAACACATTAACAATGTAATACTTGTTATCAATTATTAATTTACATGATTTATTAAACAGTTTAAACAGAAAGAATATAATAGCCATCGATATAGTAAAGTTAATCCACAGTTAAATCAACTAATATAATATTATATTAGTAATTACACTATGTTGGGATAAAAAAAAAAACAATACCTACCACTATAGTACTAGCTAGAAATAAAAAATAATTACTTAAAATGCCATAAAAGCTTAACCTAACCATTTTGATTTGAACATATTCTGAAATATATGCAACAGTATTTCTCATCAAATCTCCAGCTGTATACTAGTATGTATATTGTATAAATATTTTGTATTTTTATTTTTCAACAACGTAATCTTAGTCCGGAAATGTTAAATTCTTATTCTTCACTTCCTATTCTTAATTCTCAAACAATTAAACGGGTGAAAATAAATCCTGATTCAATTATACATAATACAGTTTTGTGATTTTATTATGTGTAAACATGGTGAAGATTTTGACAGTGGAATTTATTTAAACTGCTTTAATAAACGGTTAAATTATTTTAATACTAACAATATATTATATGCATATATTTATTATACAATAGTATCGGTAAAATGCAGTTGTTAAAATGTCGAATCGAAAACTATTATTGATACTAAGACGGTTACATCGTGACTGTTCCATATAAAACATTTGTCGAGTAAGACAATTTAATCAGTCAATGGAATATTATTTGTCTTTAGGAACACTTTCTAATATGTCTGTCATTTTCTTATAAATACTGAAAAAATATAACATTTTGATTTTAAAACATTTACCGCTATGCTCATACAAAAACTAATATCCAGTAAATATTTTAAAAGAATAATAAATCATATATTTTAAATGCTATTCGTATAATAAATTATATTGTATGTATTTAAAACAATGTACAATGTCTAATGT